TCCAAAAATACACCGATCTAAATCACTTTAATGCCTAAAGGGCCTTTTCACAAGAATTTTCTTAAAATTTGGGCGAGCGATTTAGTAGGAGCGGAGCGATTTAGTAGGAGCGAAGCGATTTAGTAGGAGCGGAGCAGGATAGTTCTTTTGCCTTATTTCTCAAGGTATAGTGCAGTATAGTACTATTAACTATATTTAAGGTACACTACAACGTAGATGTAATGTAAAGAAGGGGTATCCTAACACTAATAATGTTCTTGATCTTCTTTATTCCACCTTCTGTGCAGAAGGTGGAAGCTTTAGCCACCTTTATTTTAAATATCTCATTTCAGAATTTTGGCTTTAGTTTGTAGTTAGGTTGACAAAAAAACATGAATTTTATTAAATTAACTGTTATTGATAGGCATATCTTGAGCAATTATTTGATTTTCGTTCTTTGCGTCTACAAATACAAAATAAAAATATTGCAGTTTATGTTTTATTTCATCAATCTTATGATTACCATATCACTATTACATCCCAAGAAACCTTACTGGCTGGAGCCTAACTTTGAAAGTAAAAGAGATAGCGTCTTCCGGTTTTTTGCAAAATGTTCGTTTCGCAAAAATAACGTTTCCCCCCAGGGGGGAAATTGAAAACAACGTAGATTTTGAATTATCGCGAAAAGTCATATTTTAGGCCTTATAAAACTGCGTAGCTTTAACTTTGCAGATTGGTGTTCTCTGATTGGCTGAATCGTATCACATGGTACACGGTACAATTGCATTCTTGGAATATTTGAAGCGTGCAAATGCAATGAACTAGCGAGCGCGCGCGGAGTTTAACATGCTGTGAAAAGGCGATCACCAGCTGTAGTAATATCGCTAGCCAGTAAGGATTGCTGGGATGTACTGAAAATTGTCTTTTTGTTCTTATTACCCCCTTTTATGGCTTTGAAAATGTGGTTGTGATAAACATTTTGGATGCAGGGCGCGGCCCAGTAGTGCGCTTTTACTAAATCGTTCGCCCAAATTTAAAAAAATTCTTGTGAAAAGGCCCTGAGGGTTTGAAAGTAATTTTATTCGATCGCGATGTATTTTGGACGCTGATTCCGAATCACCCCATGACTTCATATGGCCATGTGTCTACACGTATTGCGTTCACATAGCCATGTGTCTACGGCATACGCGTACTGCGTGACGCGTTGACCATTGTTAATGATCTGGCCCGGCGCGCTACTTCGTAGCACTTGCCATCGGGCCAATAACATTTCGAGAAGAAAGCGGCGCGCGCTAATTCGAAGAAATTTAGACGAGTAACATCCGTCAACGTTGAACGTGATGCACTGCTTGCCCCTTGTTTCACAAGTATAGTAGAATAGAAATTCTTTCTCCTGTTAACTCCTCTGTTCTCATAAATTAACGCTGAGCAATTGGCAATACATTATTTGTAAGTTCATAATTGAATCTACCAAGTCGAGCGGCGATCAGCGCTAAGTTGAGCTCGTGAAATCATGTCATCATTGTATCACGTCGTGACCCCACGGTCGTTTCACTAAGTGATCAGTTGCCCCTGTATCTTAATTGACGATGTCAATTCATGGCAGCTCGACGCGGCACAGTAGCGCATCTCGCCGATCTAGCCGTGAGAAGCTTCATTGAGTGCGCGGCGCGGCACAGTAACGCATCGCGCTACAACCCTGTATCGTTATTACGATACAGGGAAGCCACGCACTCGTGCGCGGCGGGTCACACAATGTATAACGTATGATAATGTCATCATACTTATACAATAAAAAAGTAAAAAGTCTCAGGGTCGCGATTAAATTTTGAATGACCGTTCTGTGTACATATTTGTAAACTATTTGGAGGACTTCGCCACTTCGACGCACCGCGAAACCTAGCATTCTTGCTTTGCCGATCGTTGCTCAGCAGTTTGCTTCGCAGAGCAACGATCTCAATGGGTTGACATCGTCAATCAAGTAAACCATAAACGCTGATTTCGATTTTAACGGCAAATATATAAAGTTATAAAATGACAAAATTTGTACTTTAAATTTTTATATTATTTTCACATTTAATTTAAAACCAAAACTAACTCGAAACTTAAAACATAAACAGTTCAAATATTGTTATACCATTTACAAGCCTATCATGTGCGTGCGTCTGACAAAAATGGTTATTTGCTCTTATATAAACGTACGTATAACATATAAGCAAAATCGAATTGTGATCTTTGTAGCACTTGCTTCGCATTCGGGCTAATATTTCGAGAAGAAAGCGGTGCGCGCTACTTCGAAGAAATTTAGACGAGTAACATCCGTCAACCATTCCCGTCAAGCATGCATTTTTCTTTTTACAATTGTCTAATCTCTCGCTAGGATTGAGTTTAGGCTTCATGCCTAACCATGATCATTACCGATATTACACTTTTACATTCGTTGCTAAATTGTAGCTCTCTTATCAGCAGTTTTGTGTGCGCGTTGAATTATCTCTCTGGCTTTGTAGATTTGTATACATTGTTTGTACATTTTCTGTACAACGTGTACGATGCCTTTGCCGCTACAGAATGAACACTTGGATATGATAGATGATGCTATGGTTATGAATGGCCAGTTCCTTACGGAGTATGTGAATCAGATACACATGGCAACTAACAGTATTTTCAAGGAGATTAGAAGTAAAATCGGTGCCGAACACAACGATGATGTGCAATTTGACAAACTGAATCAGAGAAGTGTGCCTAGAGAGAGGTTATCAGAATGGCTAGAGACAGTGTGCTGTTTGCTGAACGATTATTGTGGTCCATTGTTACAATCTGCCACAGAAACAGCTACCGACAACAGGGTGTTCAGGAAAGAAAAAATAGAAGATGCGAATAAGATCATAGAACTGCAAGAGAAGTTACTCTCTAAGCAAGAAGAAGATATGACAAAAATCAGTGATCTGCAGGAGAAGTTAGCTTTGAAGAAGGATGACGAGATTGGAACTGTGAAAAGTGCAGCTCAGAAAGAGATTAAGACCTTTTCGTCTCTGTTGAAAAACACGTGCAAAAACGCCTTTGCACCGAAGAAAATCCAAGCTGCAGTGAAAAGGGTTGCCCTAGAAGAAGATCGAAGTAAAAGTCTGATTATCTTTGGGATTCCAGAGACTGAGGAGAACCTGGATGCTAAGGTATCTGGTATTTTGTTGGACCATCTCAACGAAAAACCAAAAATTTTGAGATGTAATAGAGTTGGAAAGGACACAAGTGAACGAGTCAGACCAGTTAAATTCACTTTGTCAAGCTCAGATCAAGCTCGTACCATCTTGAGCAAGACTAAGTTATTAAGACATGTAGACGGGTTTACTTCTGTTTACATAACTCCTGATAGATCAGCTGCAGACAGAATAGCCTACAAGAAAGTTGTCGTCCAGCTACTCAATAAAAGGACAGCAGAGCCGGACAAAGTTCACGTAATCAGGAACTTTAGAGTCATTAGCTCGGAGAAGGAGCCTTGAGAGTTTTATATTTTCTATAAGTACAATATTATATGTTTTGATTCATTGATTAATTAATTGTTGCTAGGGCCCAATGTTATTGCGGGTGTGGTATTTACTGCACACTACCGTGTTTTGGTTACCCCTCTTTCAATACATAATTTGGGTTTCGATATTCTGGGATAGTGAAAATTAGGGCTATATCGGTTTTTTCCTTTTATAACTGGGTTTATTTAGAAGCATTCAATTCTGTATAATTATGTATTGTTTGAAAAGTTTTAGATAAATGTGCTTTCGCGCCACTGCGGGCGCGCTTGTTTCACAAGCGCCGCGCAATTATCAAGCCGGCTCTGGATTTAGCAAAGATTATGGATTAGGCATCTAAAATTAAATATCACATATCAGTGGGTATAGGGTTAGTAGTACTTTACTAGTAGTCCATAGTCTAAGGGTATTATTATATAAATATTTGAATTTAAATGTACGTTGATATCGTTGATCGCGCGTGGTGTACTTTAAGTTTTTTTAACTTGAAGTTATGGTGCAAAAATAACAAATGCGATATTCAATTTCAGTGAGTCTAAACACTGAAGTACGTGGGTTAACGAGTGATACCGTCGACGAGTCCAACTCGGCGCGCGTCCTGGTAGGTTATAAACCTACAATGAAGTGGGCCAATATTCAAAACTTAAAAATTTTATAACTAATAACTATCAATATAATAATATTATGTGATCATATAACCATTTAGCCGACTAAACTTAATATAACTTACTCAAATGACGGTCACAAAACAAATTTGATCAACAAAACATTTGTGTGAAGAACTAGAAATGCTTAAAATACAAATGTTAAATTACTGGGCCGCGCTCAGCTTACTGGGCGGCGCTCAGCCTGTCATTCCGCCGAATCTTTATTTTATGTTTATGAACATAATAGCCTGGGGTCCCCAGGCAAGTGTTAAATTATATCAATAACTAAACTGAGTTTTCAGAACTTTTTCCATTGATTGATCCAGCGGCAGCACGTGTAGCGTTTTTGGTTTTTCCTTTTTGAGGAAATTTAGACGTATATCATCCGACAATGTTAATGAGAACTACAAACTAACTATTTATATATGAACCACTTAGGAAATAAACCGAAACAATTAATGATATTGGCATTGCTAATTAACGTGTAATAAAACTGAATAATGAGTACCTTATATTAGGGCAATCAATTAAGGATTATATATTAGGTTTTGGTCGTTAGCACCACATAGAAAACGTTAAACTTGTACGTGATCAAGGATTATCCTAGGGTTTGGCAGATGCTTGGGTTATGGTTACGGTCAGAGTAGACGGTCAGGGTTTTGGATCAACCGTCAGTACCACATAGAAAACATGTTTAAGTTAGTCACGTGATAAGGGTCCTAGAGAAGTTAAATTCATCCTTTCAGTGAGGACGAACCAATTATTTCTAACTTGAATTTGTTTCTTTCAAATTGCTTGAACGCACCAGTCTAAAAACCCGAGATACTTCGTCTCTTTTTTATGAAATAACATGTTATCCTCAAACCTTTTAAAAGGATTAGTCGTTATAAAGCAGCTGGGAGCAGGCGGTAACGGTACAGTATACCTCACACAACACAAGATATCCCTCAACAAATACGTGGTCAAGGTATTTAGAGATCATCCTGACCTTCCTATGGTCTATCAGGACGGGACAGAACTACCACTAGAGATAGCGACTCTAAGATCACTTCATCACCCCAATGTAGTGAAGTATAAAACTCACTTCCTGTTTAACGGAGAATGGTATCTGCTGATGGACTACGAGCCAGGATTCAGTGATCTGCACACCTTGACTCGGAGCTGCAGACTTACTGAGAAGACAGTACTAAGCATAGCAGAGCAGCTGTACGCAGTAGTGGATTACTGTCTTAAGAACAACATCGACCACGGAGACATCAAGGAAGAGAATATCCTCTACAATCCGAAGACAAACCAACTCAAACTGATAGACTTCGGTACTGCTCTCCCTCTTTCTAAACAACCTATCAACTTTCTCAGAGGTACCACCATGTGTCTGCCTCCTGAAGCGTTCTCCAAACCTCAGTACTTCCCACTTCAAGCCAGTGTCTGGGCTATTGGGTGTGTTCTATACGGCTGTATGACGGGAAGACCTGCATTTTCGGAAACTTCTGACATCCTGAACAAGAGAGCCAGAATTCTACTACACAAAAATAAACTCTACTCTGGGAAACTGGTAAACCTGGTGGAGCGATGTTTGGAACCTTGCCGAATTATGAGGATCATGTGGTCAGAGTTGGGAAGAAACTTGTGACCTACTTACGGGAATTTGTTATGAAATTGCATTCTGTGAATGCTAAGATATTTTGCAGTGGTGTTTGCTATTATATATATATAATGATAATATTTAATTTGACATTTCAATAATTTTGGTTCTGCATTTGAAGTACATGAAAACAAATTATCAAAACTAGAAATTATAAAAGCTCTGATAATCGGAGTAAACACGACTGATCAAAGCAACAAGCATCGCCAAAAGAACAATGGCCAATGGTAACACTAACAAATTAACCACCCCAGAATTTATATGGAAGAGCAGGTCCTATAATATTAGTTACAACCAACAGGCAGGGACCATCGGTCTGCTAAGATTTTATTATATTGTGCACGCCTTAATCATAGCAACTTTCCACAATTTAATCGCGCACTTGATCAGTCTGTGCTAGGTGCTGGCTTGTTTTTGGCCGTTAATCAAAATGGAGCGACAAGAGCTTTTTAGTTAATTGAACAGCTGCCGCTGGTAACCGTAGTTCAGTGAAAGTTTTTGATCGGGTACCCAGCACCCAGGACGTGATCATTATCATGATTATGTAGCGCGTGACCAATTATTTAATTTAATATATACGGTATCAAGTAACTAACATGTTAGCTTGAATCACCGTGAGAAATAAGGTAGCTCAGACATTCTAGAACAATTAAATCTAAATTATGGTCATCTAAGAATCATCAGAGAAGTTAAAATCTGTTCGATTTCGATAGCTGGTTATTGTCACTTATTGAAAAAGTGTCATCGACAAACCATTTATTTACCGCCCATTTGATATACCGATGATATTACAGGTAAAAGCAAAACCTGTGACCCGCAGGCCGGTACAAGCCATTGAAAGATAACATAAGATGCCAGTATAAGATATAACCGAATGAAACAACGCTTGAGTTTAGAGCTATGATTAAACTTATCTTCAAAATAATATATCATGTTTCCTTTGTGCTTTGTAACTCATTTTGCCAAGAACATCTTAATATTAGCAACACGATTAGAATGTTGGTATTCTACTGGTTCTCATTACACTTACAGGATTGATCTTCAAGAGGGGAAGATCTATGGGAGCTATTGAATCTAAGGTTCTAAGGTTTGAAACTGTTGGCATCTCAAAAATTTTTAAGGTCTCCTCTGGTCTGCAGTTATTTGATATTTGTGTAAGACTGCTGTCCCTCAAGGGAAAGTAAAAAACAATGGCGGTTGTCAATAAAGAATGCTTCACTTCAATTCCTCAAGTCTCCACTGATCTGCAAATATCTCAAAAGGTCAAGTACAGTAGGAACAATAAAAATTTGCTCACTCACAGTGCTAAGTATCCCAAACAAAGGGGGACAAAAAAGCTATGAAATTTTAAAGTTTTTCCAGCAATTGTGGTAATGTTGAGACTTGAGTAGGCGCTGTTTCCTTGAAACAGGGACGTTATGTCCATCAATTGAAATCTATGGATCACATTATTGAAGGCAATATCCAGGATAGATTGTTTAGGACTAGTTTCACGATCAAACTAAGCTTTCTGTCCCTGACATGTCACATGATATCAAAATTTCAGGACGACACAAGTAATTCAACAAAGAAGAGTCTATTCCGGGTCCGCATCAAAGGTATTACGCCTAATGGCAAGAAGTCAAATGATATGGACCATATGATAAGGTTCTACTGTTAGTGTTGGTGTGGTAACGGCCAGAATTAGAGACCATTCTGTTCCCACCACTGTTCGACTACTGGGGTAATCAGTATGTACTCTGCAGCAATGGTCGACAAAAACACGAAAAAGCAAAGAATTTTCTCGGCATCGGGCGCGACTCCAGCTATATAATAGCGGGTGTCGGTGCAATTATTTTGATATCGACTTCGAGTAAAATCTGGCTCGATTATTTATTATTATTCAACAAAATACACGTGTTGTATTAACCTTCTGACAGCCCAACTTCTTATTAACGAGGGTAACAAGAATCTGAAGGAGCTATTAGAATTAGGAAGATTGAAGATTGACTATATTCGCGGATACGATTTCATTTAATTTTTTGCGAGTATGTGACAAATATAGAGAACGGTCTAATCAAGGACGAAATCTCATGATCTATATCAGTATGACACATCCTCGTTTGTTTTCACTATTCTGGATTCTCAATTTTACCAAAATCCCAAATTGGGTAGAGTGAACCGTGGCCAGTGTCTCCTTTTTCCAAACAAAAGAAATGATAACAATTTAAATTACTGTTTTCAAAGGCGAAATACCGAGAATAACAATTATATGTTCACTAAATTAGGTATATATAACTGTTTCCTTTTAAAATAGTATGACAGAAGAGGAATGGAATGTGTTGCAGACAGCAGACTGTGTGTCGTGGGACTTGTTAGATAGTTAGATAACGCTTAGATAACAGATAAAGATTCGTGATATCGATATTTTACCCACAGATAATGCTGATCATAAAAATGATATTGATAATCAATTTAATTGCGTTTTATAAACCATGTCTTTCAGACGACAATTTGTCAAAATTGACACTGAATTTAATATGTAATAACTGATATAGATAATGAATTTAGTTGTGTTGTTGAAAACATGTCTTTTAGACATAGATTTGTCAAAATTGACACTGAATTTAATAACTTTATTTCATATAAAGAGTGTTCCAATGAAAGAATACATATTTGTTAATGGATACGACAATTTCCAATCACTTAAACTTAAGGTGTATTTGTCACGATGGGTGAGTTGCCCACGTTTAATTCGTATTTCTAATATATTAGAGCGATTTCTTGCTAATTGCCAAACCTCCGAAAGAAATGTAAGTGGGAACAACAACATTGTTATGTTTAACTTTATGCTTAGTAACCTCAGTGATCCTCCACAGTGGTAACAGTAACACTAACAGTTGGGCGGCACTGCTCCCCTAGCTAGTTAAACTAGAATAGCTAACAGATAATTTGTAAATTAATTCTTCATACAATGAGCAAGAAAGGCAGTCGTTAAGCAGTAAAAAATGTCAAAATATCTTTAAATCAGTGTCATGTCTATGATTATGAAAGTTGTGTTACGAAATATGACTAGATAAAGATTTGAATTTGATGATCATATCACAGCCACAGGTCATCTTCCTCAAATGAGTTATCGTGCATTAAATATTCCATGCTTAAAGCATTATATCAGTAATACCTGCTTTTTGAAAACTATTTTTTATTTGACCACCTCGGTCCTGCATTTCGGTGTAAACTTTTACAAGATGTGGAGGTAAATAATAACTCCGAAGAAGTAAACGAAGAAGCCGAAGATCAAGAAAGTGATCATGCCATAATGTGATACTTAGAATATTTCAATTGTATAATACCTTACAAGACATATTTATGTGGATCATAATTCTGGGGATCGGAATTATGGGGGAACGAAAATATGGGGATTTTTTTCAGAAATCCCCAAATTTCGTTTGGTTTTTTAAAAATCGTGAAAAGCTAAATTAATTAAAAATCATTCTCTTCGTTTAAATCGTTTAAAGAATGTTATAAGGAAGTGTTATAGTGAGTATTATAGGTCCGAGGTCAGTGTCGATTTAAGGTTGTCCGTTTTGAAGGATAAACATGCAAGATGGATTGTAGAAATAAACAGATCGTGGTAAAACTATCATTAAAAACGGATTTAGGAAATCAGCTATAACTGAGGCAATTGAAATGTTAGAATTTTCGGAGCAGGATCCATTTGTTTAACAACAATGTTTAGCTGTTCAAGTTATTCCATAAGGGTGAAAATTGCATGTCTTCCTTATTCTATTTTGTACTTAATGTTTTTCTAGTGTGAAACTAGTCGTTATTATAGAAGTCTATATAAAATTATATGTGAGATAATTTTGAATCTGCAGACGCACGTTTTTCACATAACACTGAAAAACCAGTATTTTCTATTCAGTAATTTTTATACTAAGTAACTTTCTATTTACCTGAGAAATGCGTATCCTTGTCTCACAAAACACGTAAAACAACTTATTTGACAAATTCACCTCAAATTAGCCCTATTTAAGGGGAGATACACCAAAAACGTTTTTGCTCCGAACATCGATTTTATTTTATATTATGGTTAAATAGACAAAAAAAATAAGATTGCACACCTTCAAAATTTTCTAAAAATATTCCCTCATCGAGAAAAAAAATATTTTTCTTTTTCGAAAATTTTTAAAATTTGGAGAAGTCTGTCACTGTAATACCGATAGTTCGGCCATTTAAAAAGTTTTTTAGCTGATTGTTTTACTGAACATTACTTACACTCCGTACAAGACAACCCTTTAAAATATTATATAATTGAACAATAAATGACCAAGTTACAGACCGAACAAGGTGAAAAAAGAAAAATTGGGATTTTTGCCTACCACCAAAGTTGTACATTTTACCACTCGCCCAGGTCATCAGATATCGCTTCAAAAATTCTTGTGAGTGTAGCTGATGATCATATCAAACTTTTTGGAACAGGATTTCTCTCAGTTTTGAGTTTTAAGGTATGAAATGTGGCCTTAAACGACTTAGTAAAATTCATCGTAAAAAAGGGCCAAACATGGCAGAATTAAGGCTTAAAATGCCTATAACTCAAAAAGTATCAGTTTTTTTGAAATAATTTTTACAGAATCGTAATCAGCTTGAGAAGACGAATCTTTTAGTACCAAATAGGTGATTTTAGAAGACAAATTGTCTTAGATAATTTTCCAGCTCGAACACAAGGGTCCCTCCCCCCTTGTATAAATTTTGTACAAATTGTACACATTCTTTACAAATTTTGTGTCTTTAACTATTATCAATTTGGTACTAAAAGATTCGTCTTACCAAGCTGATTACGATCCTGTAAAAATTATTTCAAAAAAACTGATACTTTTTGAGTTATAGGCATTTTAAGCCTTAAATCTGCCATGTCTGGCCCTTTTTTACGATGAATTTTACTAAGTCGTTTAGGCCACATTTCATACCTTAAAACTCAAAACTGAGAGAAATCCTGTTCCAAAAAGTTTGATATGATCATCAGCTACACTCACAAGAATTTTTGAAGCGATATCTGATGACCTGGGCGAGTGGTAAAATGTACAACTTTGGTGGTAGGCAAAAATCCCAATTTTTCTTTTTTCACCTTGTTCGGTCTGTAACTTTTCAGTAAAACAATCAGCTAAAAAACTTTTAAAATGGCCGAACTATCGGTATTACAGTGACAGACTTCTCCAAATTTTAAAAATTTTCGAAAAAGAAAAATATTTTTTTTTCTCGATGAGGGAATATTTTTAGAAAATTTTGAAGGTGTGCAATCTTATTTTTTTTGTCTATTTAACCATAATATAAAATAAAATCGTTTTTGGTGTATCTCCCCTTAATAAGCCAATTACATAAAAATTAATGTGTGGGATTTTGAAATGGCGGCCACAATTTTGGTAGTACGAAAATTTGGGGATTTTTTCCAAAAATCCCCAATTTTCGTACCATATAAATATGTCTCGTAAGGTAATTGTCCTGTACGAGGGGTGGTTAAAATTGGTCACTTGTTTGCCACAGTCAGAAATGAGGATCCTGCACTCAGCGGTATTCTAAAAGTGGAACCAATTTAACTTAAAGATTTCGACATTACAACAAGCCAGAATTGAGGAGTTAACTTGACACTGATGGGCCAGGCCCTCCCACTTTTGGCTCTAGAGCACTGTGCACGGCGATGGTTGAAGAGAAAATTAAAAGCCAACACTTTGACTTAGGTCGAAACAGGAGCCAGAACAGAGTAGATATTTAATAAGACAAGCTTTGATGTTTGAACTTTGAAGGTTTGAGCCAGGTCACCAGGTTGATTGCCAGCTGGTTGCGTGACTCACTTTTAACGCAGAAGGTGCTCAGATGCTGCAGAAGGTGCTCATAGGCTGCCCAATCAATGTGGTGGAATTTGCGGGGATAAATTCCTTTGTCAAGAGTAGCACAATTGAAAGAGATTGCTAATGGATCGTAATGAACATTCATTAGCTGACAAAGGAGTTTCAGTATTGGAGGCCAGCAAATGAAATAGAGCATTGCAGGACAAGGTGTTCGTACCCCAAGTCAATAACTACTCAGAGGACTGGACACTGTGAACAGCCAGATTCAATAGCTACTCTGTAGGACCGATCTGCTGTTAATTTTAGAATCAATTTGTGGGCATTTTAATTTATGATGGAAGATTAAAATTGAGGCGTAGTATAACAACTACAAGTTGAAAGCAGAGTATATAACTACTGCTTACAAATGGAGGAGATTCTCTATCAGACTATACTTAACTTCACGGAGAAAATAGGACTTCGTTGAGAATAAATTGAAGTGGCTATCGTCACATTTAAGTGCTTATATTATGCAAAATTTATTTCGCCAAAAATGATAGGGTATTATTTTGATGCGGATGATATGATAAAAGAACCTTCATACATTATGCATTAGTGCGTGGTGGTACTATGTTATAATTGATCAGACCCCAAACAATGTGCCTCACCTACCTATCAATAAAGTCATGATCACATGATTTGATACCATTCATGGATCACTTTCCCTTGGAAGTTGGAACGCGAACGGGACAGGAGATCACGTAACGTTAGGTTCTGTTAAGCTACACATGACAGAGAGATCACCTCACGCATTACAATGCTGGGTGTAGTATCACATGCTGCAAGTGGAATCTGCACGTGCTAAAGCATCCACTGCTCTTGCTAAACTATGTGACCTGACCTCCACCCACATTCTTAACAAGCACATTTTCCCACACATACCAATCATTGCCAAATAGTTTCGTACTAGTATAAAAGACACGAGATACCTCTACTCGTCATCACTTCGTCACTACTACGTCACACTTTGCAACTTCTATTAAACAACTATCATGATACCTTCAACTCTTCCAAGAGGTTTACTCGTTATAAAGCAGCTGGGAGCAGGCGGTAACGGTACAGTGTACCTAACACAACACAAGATATCCCTCAACAAATACGTGGTCAAGGTATTTAGAGATCACCCTGACCTTCCTATAGTCTATCAGGACGGGACAGAACTACCACTAGAGATAGCGACACTAAGATCACTTCATCACCCCAATGTAGTGAAGTATAAAACTCACTTCCTGTTTAACGGAGAATGGTATCTGCTGATGGACTACGAGCCAGGATTCAGTGATCTGCACACCTTGACTCGGAGCTTCAGACTTACTGAGAAGACCGTACTGAGCATAGCAGAGCAGCTGTACGCAGTAGTGGATTACTGTCTTCAGAACAACATCGACCACGGAGACATCAAGGAAGAGAATATCCTCTACAATCCGAAGACAAACCAACTCAAACTGATAGACTTCGGTACTGCTCTCCCTCTTTCTAAACAACCTATCAACTTTCTCAGAGGTACCACCATGTGTCTGCCTCCTGAAGCGTTCTCCAAACCTCAGTACTTCCCACTTCAAGCCAGTGTCTGGGCTATCGGGTGTGTTCTATACGGCTGTATGACGGGAAGACCTGCATTTTCTGAAACTTCTGACATCCTGAACAAGAGAGCCAGAATTCCACTACACAAAAAGAAACTCTACTCTGGGAAACTGGTAAACCTGGTGGAGCGATGTTTGGAACCCTGCCGAATTTTGAGAATCATGTGGTCAGAGTTGGGAAGAAACTTGTGACCTACTTACGGGAATTTGTTATGAAATTGCATTCTGTGAATGCTAAGATATTTTACAGTGGTGTTTGTTATTTAATGATAATATTTAATTTGACATTTCAATAATTTTGGTTCTGCATTTGAAGTACATGAAAACAAATGAATATTATCAAAACCACAAAATTAAAAGCGTTATGACAATCGGATTAAACACACCTGATCAGAGCAGCGCGGCAAGCATCACCAAAAGAACGATGGCCAATGGTAACACTAACAAATTAGCTACCTCAGAATTTATATGGAAGAGCAGGCCCTATAATATTAGTTACAACCAACAGGCAGGGACCATCGGTCTGTCAAGATTTTATTATATTGTGCACGCCTTAATCATAGCAACTTTCCACAATTTAATCGCGCACTTGATCAGTCTGTGCTAGGTGCTGACTTGATTTTGGCCGTTAATCAAAATGGAGCGACAAGAGCTTTTTAGTTAATTTAACAGCTGGTAACCACAGTAACCGTAGTTCCGTGAAAGCTTTTGATCGGGTAGCCCAGAACGTGATCAATTAGGGGCATGTGGACACGCTCTTGATGCTAATGAAAGGCAATATCCAGAGCAGGAGCGGAGAAGGAGCGGGGATGTTTAGGACTAGCTGCAGTCCCTCTGATGAATGGGCACAATACTGCAACCTCTCTAACAAGGTCTAATAGAGAGGCTGCAGTATTGTGTCCAGGTCATTGGTTACACAGGGGGCGTCAATTGTAGCTTCTCAGCGGCTTCCTGGCTGAAACTGGCGAAAGTGTTCCAGAGGTTAACTGACATCTTCTACTTCAGGATTCGAGCTTTATCACAGAATCTGGCGAGTATCGTATCCTACAAATGAGTATAACCCAGCACAGTGACATTATCAGTCCTGTGTAATATTAGTGAAGAGAGCTGACATGCTCTCCCCATTATGTATCCGCCTGATAGCCTCCGCAAACATTTTACTGACGTCCACCACGTGGATCTTGGGACAGAGAGCCAGTCCGTCCGATAAAGGAACTGAAAATGGAGATTGTTACAAATCAAATAGTTTTGCAAATAGTCTTTAATGTTAATGAGGCGAAGATTTCGTTATCAGAATCCAAATAAAAATCACAGTCTCTAACGTTTCAAACTGAAACCGGATTATAAAGTGATGATTATGATAATACTGAATAATTGTGATTATAATTATGCTGAATATTCGACTCCACAACTAAACTCACCAGTGTTCGTTATGATGACCTGATCTAAACTAGGAGAAGAGTTGATTATTTGCAGAGCATTTCCAGACAAGATACCGTGTGTTGCCATGGCGTACACCTTCAGTGCACCTTGCTCCTTTAGAAATCCTGCTAGTAGGCACCACGGCTCCACATCGTCTATAATATCGTCTAGTAAAATTGCTATCTGAAGAAAAATAGGACCGTCAATTATAATCCTTGCTTGTAATTGTCATAATATAAAATTCCTCTGAAACTTGAATATTCATAGAGATCATGATACTATAGGGTTAAGAGATTACCTTGTCCTTAACAGATCCGACTAGAGAAAGAGAGGGTTTTATCTTCTGCTGATAAGGAGGTATTGGAGTTGGGAAGCTGCAGGCGAAGGTAGCTGGAGTAACTACAGGTAGAATACCGCTATTACCTCCGATTAGTGGAGTAGGGGGAGGTGACGTTCTGCCATCTATCTCTCTCTGGAAACGGCGGAAAGTGACAATAGAATAATAGAAGGGTGCACGTTGTTATTATATCAGCAACGGCAGAATCAAGGCGTTTTGGAATCATCACTGTAAAATGTAAATGGGTAACAGTGGGTTGGTAGTACTACAAGTATTACTATAATCTACTATTCAGTAGTAGAAGTAAAACATAAAGTTTAGCTCCTCACTCCTCACTCACCTCCTCCTTCAGCTCTCCGTGAATCACAGCAAAGTTAACTCTGAGACGTTCAGCGTAACTAGAGACCCGTCTTGTAGAACTGGGGTTCTTAGCAACCATCACACACTCACGATAGTTGGTGATGTTGTCTAGTATATACTGAGAGGGGTTGTTATAGTTGGTGATGTTGTCTAGTATATACTGAGAGGGGTTGTTATAGTTGGTGATGTTGTCTAGTATATACTGAGAGGGGTTGTTATAGTTGGTGATGTTGTCTAGTATATACTGAGAGGGGTTGGGTTGTTATATAGTTGGTGATGTTGTCTAGTATATACTGAGAGGGGTTGTTATAGTTGGTGATGTTGTCTAGTATATACTGAGAGGGGTTGTTATAGTTGGTGATGTTGTCTAGTATATACTGAGAGGGGTTGTTATATAGTTGGTGATGTTGTCTAGTATATACTGAGAGGGGTTGTTATAGTTGGTGATGTTGTCTAGTATATACTGAGAGGGGTTGTTATAGTTGGTGATGTTGTCTAGTATATACTGAGAGGGGTTGTTATAGTTGGTGATGTTGTCTAGTATATACTGAGAGGGGTTGTTATAGTTGGTGATGTTGTCTAGTATATACTGAGAGGGGTTGTTATAGTTGGTGATGTTGTCTAGTATATACTGAGAGGGGTTGTTATAGTTGGTGATGTTGTCTAGTATATACTGAGAGGGGTTAGTGGTGATGTTGTCTAGTATATACTGAGAGGGGTGTTGAAAACACGAGATAGTTGGTGATGTTGTCTAGTATATACTGAGAGGGGTTGTTGAAAACACGAGATAGTTGGTGATGTTGTCTAGTATATACTGAGAGGGGTTGTTGAAAACACGAGATAGTTGGTGATGTTGTCTAGTATATACTGAGAGGGGTTGTTGAAAACACGAGACTTAATACGATAGTTGGTGATGTTGTCTAGTATATACTGAGAGGGGTTGTTGAAAACACGAGACTTAATACTAACAAAGTGAGCTGTGTAAAGATTGCTCACCAATCACCAGAACACCAGGTGACACATATTAATATTTCATATATCATAATGTATCGACTCAAGTTGTTAATTCAGAAAGTGTAGAAGTACCTGTAAGAGGAATGTAGAATGTTAACAGTACCTGTAAGAGGAATGTAGAATGCTAACAGTACCTGTAAGAGGAATGTAGAATGTTAACAGTACCTGTAAGAGGAATGTAGAATGTTAACAGTACCTGTAAGAGGAATGGAGAATGTTAACAGTACCTGTAAGAGGAATGTAGAAGGTTAACAGTACCTGTAAGAGGAATGTAGAATGTTAACAGTACCTGTAAGAGGAATGTAGAATGTTAACAGTACCTGTAAGAGGAATGTAGAATGTTAACAGTACCTGTAAGAGGAATGTAGAAGGTTAACAGTACCTGTAAGAGGAATGTAGAATGTTAACAGTACCTGTAAGAGGAATGTAGAATGTTAACAGTACCTGTAAGAGGAATGTAGAATGTTAACAGTACCTGTAAGAGGAATGGTGAAGATCGGAGGTTGTCAACTGAACAGTCGAAGAACCCATGTATTTCTCGTTGGTGAAGATCCATAGTGATCAGATGATTAATACCTGTTAGAAAAGTATGAATTATATGCGTGTGCCAACTTATTAAGCTTGATTAATAAACGCATAAAACATTACATCACGATCATTACGTCACGGAAACTAAGATAGAATAAAGTAAGATATGTGATATAGTACCTGCGTTACACATCATTTTAGCAATCAGTTTAGATGTGATGCAGGCTCTTCTTCTCATTCTACACTGTTTAGAGTAAGGTAGATAAGGTATCACCGCTAAGGGAGGGGAGTCATTAGTATCCAACTAAAAGAGCATATCCGCATAATAATAGGGATATCATACATTACATACAAGTGTGTGGCATCGTGCCAATATTGTTGTGATCATTCGTTGGTAGTGTGTTAACTAATCTTTAACGAAGGCAAAAACAATAGGACGGCTTTACTTTTTAGGAATAACATATCATAGGTTTATATATATGGTAAGAAGTAACTGAAGGAGACAAACCTACAATTTTGCGAGCGGAGGAAGTTTTACAAGCGTACACCATGGTCAACATCTCGAACACATCATTGTTCACTTTCTTTGATCCGCTCTGGATGATGTACACTTCTTTACCGCGGATACTCTCCTGTAGCTTTACTTCTGTCTCTGTTGACGTCAGGTTGTGCACCAGGATATCTCCTAACTTCACTCCCACGTGACTGAATAGATTTTATCACGTGACTAAATAGTTTATATCACGTGACTAAATAGTTTATATCACGTGACTGAATAGGTTTTATCACGTGACTGAATAGGTTTTATCACGTGACTGAATAGGTTATATCACGTGACTGAATAGGTTTTATCACGTGACTGAATAGGTTTTATCAAGTGACTGAATAGGTTTTATCACGTGACTGAATAGGTTTTATCACGTGACTGAATAGGTTTTATCACGTGACACTTGTATCTACGAAGTCAAAGTTTATTTCTAGAGATTTCTGAACATTTGATGTAAAAGTCCTCTCCTTTGGAGAATTGAGCTATTGCAAAATCGAATCTAATCATAGAATTATCAACGGAATACAATAAATATTGATTGAATCTGTAAATGACATTAGCGTACCCAGCAATATCCTCTGCAATAGCAGGGTGGCTCTGTCCAGCAAATATCACCATGGGAGGTCGGGGGTCCCCCATCGCCGGGCTGAAATAAGAGTGTGAATGTTGTGTGTAATAAGTGTATGTAGATTTAGAATGCAGTTGGGCAAGCTTACTGAGCTTTATGAGTAATAGGCTTCAGTTGTCAGATTTGTAATTCGCAGATCTTTTAAACTGTTATCTGCGATTAGTTAAACTTAGTATGTTAGTTACGTTTAATTCGCCTCTTTAATAGCTCAAACGTCTTGTGTAACGTCTTAACTCAACTTCTTTACAAGCTTTCTATGAAATTAACTGACAACTTATTTTAATATTACGTAGGTATCTCCCACTTTACAATTACATGTACGGATCACTAAAACTTATATTGATGCGTCAAACGCTATAATAAAATTGTCTCGGAACGTAGAGCTAACTTAAGTAACACAGAAACAGTTTAACATTTAAACAATGGAGGAAATTGCATCATAATCCTATAAAATACCTTTCTAAAGGAGCAATCAAACCAACTGTCAGACAGCAGCAATCCTCATTTTAGGAAAGCAAACAAAGAAGCTGGAGATCTCACAAAATGTGGAAAGAGAGGCCGTGGTAAAGAAGTGTCATGTGATAAACTACAGAGTTAGAAGTAGTGATTACTGGGGGATAGAGCTGTTAAAGGGATAATGGTTAGAGCTCTGTGTAACTAATAGTGTGACCTTTATATAGAGGCCTGTGTAATAAAGGGCCTGTATTTAGAGGGGGAGGGGGGTGGGGCAGTTAGACACATCCTCCTTGTACAGGTGTGTACTATAGTATATATAGATTATAGAACTATAATGTAGCAGTACTTAGGCTGAGAACTGAACAAGTGGGTACTTGTGCAGGTGTTTATATAACTATTATGTAGCAGTACTTAGGCTGAGAACTGTACAAGTGGACACAGAGAGCACAATGACACTTATATGTAGGAGCAGGTTAGGAAAGTAAAATGTTTGCAGGGGAACGGGGAAATGGTAAGTGCAATGTAACAGGTTCTAACGAGGGACCAGGTTTATCACTAACTAAGTAGATCTAGGTTAGATAAATATGGAACACAGTGAATCTAGCAGGGTATCTATAAGTCAGGTAAACACAAATAAAAGTGCATCTGCGGCGCGGGAAACAACGAACTGAACGTACACAATGTACACTACACAATATACGTGTTCAAGAGAAGAGAAGAAGACGACAAATGTTGCATAATATGCTACTAGCCACTGTGTTGTATAAGCTACAATCGTTTGCTGAAACATATCTGGAAAACTGCCAAGCGATCCAACCGGAATACAGAGAATGAGAGGACGGTACTCAAGGGAGATTTAATGCACAGTTATTGCGTATATTTTAACTGAGTAGCGAATGCGGCGATGGCTGAGGACTAATGAACTGAACAAATATCTTAGGAATATGATATAAGAATATAATATAAGAATATAAAATAATATACGAATGTTATGTTATACACGCCTACATAGTATGCACTATGCAAGTGGACAATATCACGTATGTACTACACATGCAATATAAGAGTATACGAGTATTATAAGTAACCATTAACACATATAACGCAATATAATAGCATATACAAGGATATATCTTGTGAACTTGGCTAGTATATATGAAACATTTGACACGTAGTTGTAGAGTGAGCTATGTGCCTCGCCGGGCTAAAGTAGTGGATGTCCTTGCTGTACGGCAAGTTAAACAAGGAACTGAAACTTCAAACTATACTAGGTTCCGTATAGGCTCAACTCTGCACCCGTGTCGATATGTTCATTATATGCAAGCCTCTTGATCTATATTCTATAAGTAACCATTAACACATATAACGCAATATAAGAGTATAAGTAACCAATAACACATATTAACAATATAAGAGTATAATATGTATTACGGGTAAATGCCTCACAGAATGGCTAGCCTCACAGAATGGCCAAATTTGTAAATGTTTTTGTAACTAATTTTTTATATAAGACTGGTAGGTTTTGTGGATACCATATGAAACAAAAGTCTTCTGGCAACACTTCCTGTGGTGAAATCATTTACTAGGACCACATTTTCTGGCATAAATATGACTGTTTATGTAGAAATTTTGAGCACTGAAAATTTGTTTTCAAATTTTTGAACTAAGTTTACATTTTGGTGAGAACTTCTGGCACCAGTATGACAGAAGATGTTTAAAGAATAGTATTCATCAAACAAAACGAACATTGTTCAATATAGGAAGAAAAAAATGCTAAAATGGCTACACGCCTCACAAAATGGCCAAAATATGCCTCACAAAATTTGTTTTCAAATTTTTGAACTAAGTTTGCATTTTGGTGAGAACTTCTGGCACCAGTATGACAGAAGATGTTTAAAGAATAGTATTCATCAAACAAAACGAACATTGTTCAATATAGGAAGAAAAAAATGCTAAAATGGCTAAACGCCTCACAAAATGGCCAAAATATGCCTCACAAAATGGCCAAAATTTACAACTACTTTTATTCAATGAAACAATAAGTCTAAATTATTCACAAGCTATTTATCATACAATAACACCCCAGATGGAGTGTTTTTACAGCCGAATGAAGGTTATAAATCATGAAATCAGGGAATATGAACAACGCCACACAAAATGGCCATTTTTGGTGTAGGAAATTATGCCCTTTTTATTCAGTTCTAAGAAATTTCACCTATATGGGGGTGTTAACAAGGCATATTAATACCAGCAGCATGCCTGAAACAAGAGCCAAAGGTTTTAGAAAAATAAAATTTTCTCGTTTTCTTTTTTTTTGCCATTTTGTGAGGCATTTTTTCTTTTTTGTGAAATAATTTTTCACAGCTCAGTTTTTTCGTGAGTTTTAGGTTATTACCCCATTCCTTAATAGGTTTTCTAACAACGTGTGGTGATAGAAATTTAAAAAGTATCTCCATCAAAAAATTATAGAAATTAAGATTTTGCCATTCTGTGAGGCATGTTTTTTTGGAGGAAGATTTTCCGGCCAATTTTTCTCAAAGAAAAAATGGTTATGAGATTAAATCAACCCCCGTGAAGAAAAATATGAGTGTCAACTTAGCTTCTTATGAGATAAAAACTGGAATAAAGTGTGTTTTGTGATTTTGAGAGACCTTCCTTTTTTTTGGCCATTCTGTGAGGCAAATACCCGTAAGTAACTAATTACTATTCTACGGAAATTTGGCGGTCTATCACTCGCAGTGGTTGGCAATGTATATTATATTATACTCAACTGTATGTAAAGTTTACTCATCTATAATTATATATAGTATTACACAGTAAATATTACACATAATTCACATTCTGCCGTTTCCTGACAAATGTGCTCAAAGACCATTTGGAAATTTCAGCAAATTCTTCAGAAAACGGCAGCACTATTACCTATATCTACAACAAATTGGGCAAGGAGACTATTTGTTTTGACACGTGACAGGGTTTCTGACCGGTGGCTGCAGGAAACTGATAATAACACTATAACTAACTTGTTAGAAAGTATATAGAAAGTATATATATATATATTAGAAAGTATATACCTCCCATCAGTATCTAAATCTAAGCAAAACTAAGAAAGCAAGAAACTTAGGATTTTACAAAATTGGGCAAGTTAACATACTCTCACTGTCCACTTTTACAAAACCTGGCGCAAGAGCAACTCAGTAGAAAACAAACTGGGGGTATGAAAATAGAGAGGCAGGATGTAGGCTGAAACATTTAAAAGATATGCAAATACGTTGGCACCTGCAGGTACACTGTACCGCTACTCACTAGCAACATGAAGTACACCATGGTGACTGGTCCAGATGTGCAAATATAAGAGAAATAGACAGTAGCAAGACTGCGAGAGAGAGAGAGAGAGAGAGAGAGAGAGAGAGAGAGAGAGAGAGAGAGAGAGAGAGAGAGAGAGAGAGAGAGAGAGAGAGAGAGAGAGAGAGAGAGAGAGAGAGAGAGAGAGAGAGAGAGAGAGAGAGAGAGAGAGAGAGAGAGAGAGAGAGAGAGAGAGAGAGAGAGAGAGAGAGAGAGAGAGAGAGAGAGAGAGAGAGAGAGAGAGAGAGAGAGAGAGAGAGAGAGAGAGAGAGAGAGAGAGAGAGAGAGAGAGAGGGAGAGAGAGTTCTAGAAGCTATTATAGCTTGGGGGAGCTGTCATACAAATTAGCTCCTAGCATTCCTGATGAGCGCTATAAATAACACCACACTTTAAAAAACTGTGCTATAAATTATCGTAATTCATTACTTTTCGGTAAGAACAAAGTCCATACTTACTGGAAACTTCTGTTGAGCAACATTTTTCTAACAACCCCTTCTATCTACCCCTTCAATACAATATTTTAACAAAACACACAAGTAACAAATTGACAGGAGCAAACTTAGTTCCAACAAAATTATACACCTGAGTTGCGTTTTAATTGATTATAATTATAATATTATATATAGCGGCGAAGGGAACAGTCGAATATGTAACCATTTATATAACTGCGGTAAAATTGAGAATTTTCTATCTTGACGAAATTATAAATATACGAGATCGAGATGAGGCAAGAAAGTGGGTTTGCAAAGCTATAACGAATACGGAAGAAGGCCAGATAAACGGAATGTACCGTACACATATTATACCGTACACACATACCGTACACACATACCGTATAAAAATGGTATAATCATTGTCCTACCATAATTATGACAGGAAATATAACTGGTGCAGTGCAAATAGAATTCGTAACATATACTTAAGACGTAATTAAACTTTACAATAGGATGTTGGTGGAGCCAGTAAGCAATAACTGCAGGGTTACTAAATACTACGAGAGGATGTATAATCCGGTGTAAATATAAGAGTAAATATAACAATCAACGGTGTACAACCAGATTGTACACAATCTTATTAGTAGTAGTGTAGCATATGTGCCAGTAGTGACATGCCAATCTGTAGCACCCTGCTCTCGTACTGTTGACAGTAATCAGTAGCTGCTCACATTACTACTAGTCACGAGGTACTAATTATTAGCTTACATCCAATTAGCTGAGCTCTATATACCATGATGTACCTATACATATTATACTAACTAACTATACAGTCCAATATAAGAATTACTATACAACGTACTACTATTACTATCATATACATATAACATATTATACTATACAACGTCTGATCATCTGTCATCCTGATACACAACTTTATAACTTTATTAATTAGTACTTATAATGTATACCTATAATGTATATGTACTTTACTTTACCAACCCTGACTAATAACTACACATAATATTCAAGGTATTTATCTTTATACTCGGGTACGATTGAAGCAATCTTTTTGCAACACTTATATACAAGACAATAAAGATATAAACGAATGAACACAAAGAATGCAAGATGACGCATGATATTCAGACCTATCTTGTAATTGTAATCCAATCCAGCAATGCTGCTCCAGTCGCTGATCCACTCCGCTGAGCACCCTAGAAAACAACAAAACCAAACAGGAGAAAGTAGCAGGTAAAGATATGAAGGTGAAAGTGAAATTACTTACAAACGGCTCAGAAAGTGTTGTGCCATAGTGGTGATGACAGGTGACGGGCAGAACAGCAGGCTTCTTTTGTAGTTCAGGAATGTCGTGAGACGGAACTACACGTGGTCACACTACTAGTACTAAACGAGAATTACAGCTACACAGCGCGTACACTAGTCAACCTACTACTGCTATTAAGCTAGTATTACTGTACAGGAGCCTTCTGTACAGCTCAGCCAGGGAGGCGGAAATACAGAAATAATGGACAATGTTCAGTGAGTAATTATTTGGCATGTTTACTCCGTAATTAGTGGTTATTGCGATCCTGGACTTTCAGTCGGTTAAAAAAATAATTTTATGCTTATGAAACTTGCATTTTTGTCTATTAAGTTAAATTGTATTATACAATTATAGGAATAGGATTGCCACAATATGATTATGAAACATAAACGAAGACAGATTCCCAGGCTAAAAATTAAGGCTACAAATTAAGAACAAAATGTTTCGCATAATCAGGTACTTGTAAGCGTAAAATTAGAGAATTGAAATGAGCTGAACAACTACAATTAATATCAATTACGGATTATAAGACATATAACAACAGTTCACATGTCAACGACAGTCACAAGTGCTCCTTCATTAACAAAACTTATGAGGATTTCTTTTCTGCGTCATTTATTGACAAGATTACAGACAAGAAACGTCGCACAAGAAACGTCGTACCGGGAATTACTAATCATTATAATGTTAATATTATTATTAGATCTGATTTATTAAACCTACCTTGGTCCTTGATAAACGGAGAAGCAAAGGTAATAAGAAACAAACTCGATTCAGTGCAGTATTAAGTCTTATTGATAGACTTATTAAATCACAGAAAACGCAAAAATGGAGATATAAAACGAGTTTTGATGGTTGAAAATAAGCGCTAGTGTAAAATATCAGTACTCAACAGCCTATATGTGACATTCACACAATCCTTCACGCTCAACCAACACACAAACCTACGATACCGGCTACCTTGCCGCTAGGTTCAAAACGGATTCAATTATTGGAACAAAGTTGGCGCCCTATTTTTAACATTATATCGAGGAAAAATATAATAATTGAATTGTTTCCTCTAGGAAAATGCTATTTACAGTGACCCAATGTAAAATATTTAGTATATTAGAACACTAGTCGGGTTCACTTTGTAATTGTTATCAAATTAAAACTTGTTCTGACGTATTGAAATCTATAAAGTTCATTACTATTACCAATAGTAGACCGGGACCGCTTTTTTGGACGGGATAATGGCGTTAGGTGCAGTATCTTAACAATATTTTATGTCAGCAAGTTGGTTGATCAGTGTATTGGATTTCTAGAGTATTCTACATTTGATTTTAGCGTAAAACATACTCCGAACAACTTGGTATGGAACGAGGTTACCAGATATTTGCAGGATACGCTGGAGCCCCAGAGACGTAATCACCTGGAGTTCTGGCGAACTCCAAATCGTTCATTTGTGCAAAAAATGTTCGATAATTTTACAAATTAAAAAAAACTTCATTCAAAAACTAGTTTAGGGGCAGCATATCCAGCGCAACAAGCTTTTATTAGGTTATAAATATCTCCGGGATTTCGACGCGGGATCATATTATCACTCAACCCGGCCCGCTGTTAGATAAACATCTCGAGGTGATATCATCCCGCCCCGGAAATTTGTATAAACCCGGCCCGCTTTTTAGTCGTAACTGATGTTTATCATTCAATTCTCCGACTTACAATAATCAATGATACTGCTGATTAGAACTCGATAATAGTAGAACAGTTAGACGCGCGATCACGTGGGCGCGTCACGTGCGTACCACGTGCCACCAATAGCATACGCCGAGTCTATACCACGTGACACGAAAGCGCACCACGTGATATGAAACATCGTAATCGTCCACTTCTTTTACACGCAAATTCCTGGGAACGTTGCCAAAGCAGCTAATTCTTGGAATTTCTCCAACGCGTGGCGTGAGAAGTTGGCGACTAGCCAGCTACCCTTGTCCGTGCCCTAAAAATAGTATTGTTTTGCTTGCTCTCCTTCCAGCTCTTGTTCCTGCTAACGTTCAAGCTATTGCTCCACTATGACAGATCGGTTTGACATTCAGATTGATGAACTGCTTTCCAATCGTGTTCCGGACAGTACAGTTAGAGTCAACAACTGGGCTCTAAACAAATTTAATTCTTGGCTTCAGTCATCCAGATTTGCTCGTGACTTCAATGACTTTGACCAAATTCCTGTTCAACGACTCAACTACATTTTAGTGTGCTTTCTTGTTTCTTCTAAAGTATAAATCCCTTGTCGAAATCGCCGGAGATAATTATAATCCATAAACACTTCACGCTCAGGGCTAAATAAATGTAATCCCTCAGCTGGCGCTTCGGGATTACATATTAACACAAAACTCGTGCGCTGCGCGCACTCGTATGTGTTTATCAGATCATCCCGCTAGCGCGGGATGATCTGTTATATAAACCCTTTGCGTGGCGGGTTTATGTTATTACAAAGCCGTACCAACACTACTAAATAGGGCAGCTAGCTCTATTAGATGGGGGTTTCGATATATCATAATGAAAATAAGAAATATAATAGTGATAAGAAATATGCACATATTTGACACAAGTGCAGAGACAACGCATTAAATTGAATAAACTTACTATCGACATCTAGTAGCCATGTTCTGTAACAGAGGAGGGGTCTAACACAGCAACCTTTAACTACAGTCTGAAGTAGAGGAGGAGTAGAGGAGGAGTAGAGGAGAAGTAGATGAGGAGAACCTGGTACCTACCTAACAAAACGCTGTTAGTTGAGACTTTAAACCCAATTAGGTTTAATCGGGGTAAAAAGTGAAATAAATGTAATATAAGATGACCCGTGAGACCTGGCCGATTTACGCCCAAGCAACATGTGTTGTAATTAAGATAGCAATGTCTTGGGTTTATATATCTTTAGTAGCAGTATAATCACACACGACTTCTGTGATGTCTGCATTACGGAAGGCTTATTAAACCTCTTTTACACTCTTGCCCGACTTGGGAGATCGCTAACCTAGATCAGTATGTCATAAAAATTCAAATACTAATTTCACCTTAATATTTTCCATTTCTTTCACATAACTTATATGCCATATTCCTGAATTCGATTAAAATTTTGCATACTCGAAGCCTGCGTGATACAAATTATCGTATTATGCCAATCGCAGTTTGCATTGAGGGACAAACCTCAGACCTAAAATCAGAACAAGCTACACCAAAATACTACGTATAGTAGGTACTAATACTACTACTAGTACTACAGCATAATGAGTAGTTTGCTCACGGGAACCGCAACCAAAAACCTAGGGAAGTTCTAAGCGTACGCAATTAGGGAAAAGTTACACAACATCAAACATTAACAGCAAGATTATTGTTATCTGCTGCAACGACTATTATATCAGCGTTCCTCTGACGATGTTAACTCCATCAACCAATGAGAATTGTAAAGTGTTGAGTTTTAAATTTTACTGGTTGATTTATAGCTGATAGAATTAGGATTGCAGTATTCTGCAAAGCTGAGCTAATCAGATTACTGCACAAGCGCACAGGGTATCAGATTACCAACGGAACGCAAAGGTTACTGCTTACTCTTGTTCCTCAGTTTCGTGATCTAATACATGGATGGTTTGCAAGTGGGCCCACGAATCACGCACGCACGCACTTCATGCCCCATGGGTGAAATGCGACCATCTAGTCAAATGGACGGTCATAAATGTATAGTTGATAGTATTAGTTATTAAAGGGTGGTTCAAATATTACGTAATCACCTGTTGGCCAATTTTTAAACCCCTCCGTAATCAGTTATACACAATGTGTATTACTGATTACGGAGGGGGTTAAAAATTGGCCAACAGGTGATTACGTAATATGTGAACCACCCTTTAATAACTATTACACATATCCATAGGTATTGTGTTCAAATTAGTATTACACTAGCGTAATCATTTAGACACCCCCTCTCGGCCCCTCAGTGATTACGTAATATGATTACGTAATATTAATATGTGAACGACCCCTAATGACGCGCATTAGGGGTCATCAGGGGTGTTTTTCTTCTTTATTAAACGTTGAATTTTACGAAGGAGTAGCTTACTATCAACGTTTGGCCATTTCATATACCCAAATTCCAAACCCGGTAACTTATTCCCTACGATATTTTTACACTTCAGCAAACAAAGGAGCTAGAGATCAGTATCATTACGGAATACGAACTGATGGTTTTAGAATATAGAGGTGCAAATAAATATAAATAAAATTACGATGGTGTGTACTGTGCGTTGAGAAACAAATAATAAAATGGAGACCACCAAGCAGGCAACATAACATATTTATTATTTAACATCGGAGATGGTTGTGATTGTTTTACTAACCACTTGACGTCATTAATCCGTAATATTTCCCTGACATCTAATAATAGTACGATCCAACAATACCAGCATGAACATAATTTTTACAACCATTAGGTCAAAGAAAATATTAATTAATCGCTCCGAACATCACAGAGGAAATACAAAAATAAACGTTAAAAAAACGATTGTAAGTATAAACCAAATGATATCTAGACAGTTTCCATGAACAAAGGATCTGCGCCACTTAGCTCACAGGTTGCCAGGAGATCTCATTAATTTGATATCTCTCATCGTATCGTGATGAACATTACCCGGCTGTTTCAAGTGGAGCTCGACTGTGTGGCTAGTTTTTAATCCTCGTGACCTTGAGAAATAGTGAAGTGGTTCGCTCATTCTTAGCTCTTGGCCCTTAAAAGCTTAAACTGCAGCTTGAATATAACACTGTGCTTTCAGCAATACTCATAAGTATTTCCGTGGCTGTGGTTGCAATGCGCCTAGTCTACTGGAATGATTCTTCGGAATTTCGCTGGATTGTACAACTTTCGTCTTGGTAGATTCCAAACACAAGGAAATTTTCCTTTTGGTTGGTAATATACTCAATGATGGGAGTATAGTGTATTGGCTATGCCCCGCTTACTAGTTTAGCTCTTTCTAGTCCCCTGCTACACGGCATGTAAACAGGGATTGGCTAGTTAGAGGCGGTCCGTGTGGGCCTTACACTGTACTTTCAGCAATACTCATAACCATTTATAATCGTGGCTCATAATACATAAGAGAGTATTCCTAATCGGGAGTTACGAAAAATCAGAAAATGGTATGGATCTGTGATCGTTGAACAAAAGATAAAGGGACAGCCATCGTCAAAATCAAGTAATCATTCAATGAAATTGCAAAAGCAGAAGTGAACAACTTTGCGTCTTAGCAAATCTTATAAACATTTAAATTTAATGGTGGATACTCATACGTTAGATAATGGAGATTGAGAAAGAATGGGTGAAAATTCAAAGTGGCGACCGTTTAACGAATTTACTAGCGTTACGTGTGATACGTCATGATATGATGCAATAATGTGGCAAGCCTGTGATTAAAACTGCTGTCGGACTTAATACTGAATCAA